CCTCCCCCGCTCCTTCTGCCATACCCCCCGTTTATTATTTTCCAGCTTGCCTCGACCGACGATCGCGTGAAACATTATAATATCTAGAATTTAGATATCTGAATGAAACTTCTCTTTTCTTTTGTAAACGGAAAATTGCCCTCAGTATTAGTACCGGTACTGGGTTGGCTACCTTAATTGGCTGTACATTTTTAAAACTTTTGTACTTTGGTTTATATTTTCTAATAAAACTGGTCTGTTCCTAAATGGGAAATGTTGCCACTGTAACTCACTAAAATCGCTAAAATTTCATGATCTCTAGTTCTTTTATTCACTGAAAGAGAAATAAAACAACAGATTTGTTCCTACTAGTACAGGGATATGATGTTGAATGTGCCCCCTGTTTATTAATTTTGGACCACTTGTCCAGCCCGGCCCCCTTTTATTCCAACGCTCCCTTTTATTCGATACAGTAGAGAACACTTATTCATCAAAAACGCTGAGTCAAACGTTTTCTCCATGGTGGTATCGACTGACGTCACGGTGACCATGAACTGACCAGTGTGGTGCAGCTTGCTATCAGGTTCACAGCGGGCTCAGGTTCGGTTTGGACCCGATGTTAAAACACACTTTACAGTACATGGTATTAATAGTTGTAAAGCGCATAGAGCAAGTTCTTGAGCATGGATATGCGCTATATAAATGCAATTATCATCATCATCATCATGGTATTAAAATTTGGTCAGCGAGGTCTTCGTAAAGCTGCCACAACCCATCATAAATACGGACGCAGTTGATATTCGCAGGAGGCACGGTTTGATTCCCGAGAGGAGAGGAGAGGAATGTTTGTACACGTAGATATCCAGCATGTCGGTCTTTTTCCTGGGATGTTGTATCCCTCTCAGCCTACTGTGGCCCTGACTGACGGGTTTGGAAGCCTGCCTCCTAAATTAACTAAATTGTCTTGATATAGCCTAAACCTACCTGGAATCTACATTTTAAAAACAAAAGACGTTGGCATAGCAACGGTGACGTGTTCGTTTCAGTAGGCATTGGGTATGGGAAATGTATAAGAGCACAAGTATATGTATCTATGTACGAGTCGCGGTTGTGGAAAGCTATGCCGGTCTCTTAACAGATTTTTATTAGATCTACATTTTCGAATTAAAAAAAAAAAACTTTTTTATGGGACCTTCCCTATCCAATGCAATCCCCAGTCAATTCAGAAAACAAATTAAACGAATTTTTTAATTTAATCGATTCATCCTGTAACTTACTGACCAAACATCAATACCCCCTCGCCCCATCCCCCCCACCCCACCCCTCTACCTACTCACCAACCACCACTCACCTTCATTCCACTCCCCCTCTCCCCATTCCCTCCTCCTCACCCCCCCCCCCCCCCGCACGATTTCTTGCAACAACCCCGGTTTTTTATGTTATATTTTGTTTTTGCAATGGAGAACTCTTCAGACTCGGCTCGTTAGTTTGGAAGTCGATGGGAAACCTGATTCAACACCTACGTACCCTGTAAAGAACTATGTGCACTACCGTGGGACTGAGAGAACCATTTGATATGACTCTTCAAGTTTTATTGGCTTAGTTATGTAATGTATCCGTACACGACTGTCTACCGGGTGTATGGTGACCTGTCTCCGTTGTATTTACAGCTCCACGTCCACCTGGCGATATCCCAACTGTGTAAAGGCAATGTCGTTGATGATCACGTGAGGAGCTTATTGGCTCTTTTCTTTTGTGGGGGCGGAAGGTCGACCAATCGACTGCTACCATTGAGACCTCACTTAAGTCAATGGCGTCTCTCTTTCTCAAACACATACGGCTTTCGTCTTTGTGATATTATTTAGCTTTTTGCCTCTCTTTGGAAAAACCAGCGTGAGCGAAGTAGGATTGTGGGTTTGTGATGTTCTGAAGGGGCTTGCCAACCCGCGCTTTTTTTCTTTGTTTATGAGGCGAGGCACTTGGTGTTTAAAGAGCGCGCGTGCGCGCATGTGTGTGTGTGTGTGTAAGAGGGGGGGGGGTCTTTTAAGAATTTCACTAATGCAATCAGAGTATGTTAGAAATAAAGAAACCCTCTATTTAATCAAAACTGACAGGTCCAGTTAAAGTCTCGTTCTACGGTACCGTGCAAGCTGTGTCCAGGTGAGGTTACACGTGCGTGTGCGTGTGCGTGTGCGTGTGCGTGTGCGTGTGCGTGTGCGTGTGCGTGAGTTGAAGTTGTGCACATTTAGAATAAACTGAAAGAAACCCGCTCTACTAGTTCCTGGAATAAGGAACAGCGTACAACATGAATTTTTACAAATGTAATCTGTTTATAAAACATCCCAATACAAACGTGTGGTTTCCGACAGAACACGTATACGCTCCATTTATTGGGCCGCTTAAACCGAAATTAGCCTGCGTCTGTTTGCGACCGTTGTTGATAACACGTTTGTACATTTCCCACAAAAATACGTACTCAGTCTGCTCTGGGCTTTTAGGGGGGTTGTTGGGGTTGTTGTTGTTGTTGTTGTTGTTGTTGTTGTTGTTGTTGTTGTTGTTGTTGTTGTTGTTGTTGTTTTTGTTTTCGTTTTTTTTGTTTTGCTTTGCTGTGTTTTGCTTCGGGGTTGTTTGGTTGGCTTTTTCCCCCCTGGAACTTGAAATTCTCTGCCCGGTTTGAGAAGCCGTGTACGTAGGAGTCATGATACCCTCAGGGTCTTCACTCCTTGTGACGGTGATACGGGTTGATAATCCTGAGCAGATGAAAGCACTATGAGGACAGACTGGTTTATCTGCCCCTTCCGCCTCCCCCCTTCCGCCTCCCCTCTGTCCCCCCATTCTTTTGTTATTAATTTGTTTGTTTGTTTGTTTGTTTGTTTGGCAGCGTGGTGAAATCAGAGGTTCTTCAAAATATTGAAATCAAAGAAACAGACATTTGTGTAGCTTCCCGGTGTAACCAGGCGTTCGTCAATCTTTGGGTATGTGGAGTTCTTGGCATCATCTTAAAGCTTGTTCATTTGCCTTGCTTTTGAGGAAAAAATTCTTGTATATATATTGGATAGTAGTTGACATATTTGTGAGGTGGGGGTTGCCTGATTCAGAAGAGCAATTTCGAAAAAATGGCCGCCAAATTGAAAGTCCTTGGAAACTGAAAATTTACCTTTTATTAATATTTTTGATAAATGTATAGTATGTTTTGCTCTGAAAGTGTAAATGGGTTACCAATGCGTAGTACGGAGCTTCCTGAAGGGGCAAAACCACCACGTGAAGTACGGAAATCCTCGGGGAATTTTAGCCAAATTTGCTGAGGATTTTTTTATTGACGTGTGTGCGACACCACGGACATTCCCGAATTAAAATTTCTGGTGCACGTCATAAACGGAAGTACGGTCTCGAACTGTGCTCACTTTGGTGGCAATATAAGCCGCCGTTTGCTCAAAATCCAGTATCGCATAAGCATGCCACCGAGACGAAAGCTGAGAGACTTTGATCATACCAGAGCTATGGCATGGCTGGAGGTTGGAGTTAGAGCCCGAGAAGTTGCCAGAAGGCTTACAGTGTCACACTCTGTCATTGTCCGCCTGAGGCCTCGCCATCAAGCCACTGGATCAGTCCAAGAACGCCCACGTGCAGGTCCACCCAAGAAGACCACTCAGAGTGTTTGCAAGTGGTCCTTAACTTATGTTGAAGTCTGTAGATAGGTATGTTTTATCTAAAGCAAGGCAAATGAACATGAGTTAAGGTCATACCAATAACTTCATTTGCCAAAAACCTGTCGAGTGCCTGATTCCACCGCGTCATGACACAATGCTACTGTTTTTGCTACTGTCTTTCCTCACAGTTTCGCTACTGTTTTTCTGTACTGTTTTTCCTCACAGTTTTGCTACTATTTTTCCTCACAGTTTTGCTTCTGTTTTTCCCACACAGCTTTGCTACAGTTTCAGATCGCTGCCTCGTCATGCTCTCCGCAATCCTCTGCATCCTGGTTGTTACCGTTGTAGTTTACCTGGGCTTTTCACACAAACGGCCAAGGCAGGACTCGATCCCAGGCCCTCCGTTCCTTCGAGGCCTCTCCACCTTGTTCTCTGCCTTGATACGGAACAACCTATACCAGGTGGCTGAGAACTGGGCGGGGCAGTACGGAGACCTGGTGGAGGTGAACATGGGGCTGGGGAGACTGGTGTTTGTTAACAGCCCTGACCTGGCACGCCTCCTGCTCTGTGACCCGCGGTACCGTGACGTCACCAACGACAGGCCGTCCACCTATATGGGTCAGCACACCTTGTTCAACGGCACGTATCAGGACATCATGTTGGCCAACTTCAGCTCGGCGTTCGTGAAAAGGCGAAAGTTTTTCCACGCCGCTCTCAAGATGTACGGCCACGGGGTGGAGGCGTTTGAGAGTCTGGTACAACAGACGTCGAGTGAGCTCACTTTTCGTCTGGAGAACTACCCAGGCAACGTACCGCTGAAGAAGGAGCTGACTGCTTACATCTGCCACATGGTGGGGCTACTGCTGAAGGGAAAAAACCTCCGAGACACAGATTTGAAAGTCCTCGTCAGCTGGATCGATGCCGGCAACGAGTGTATCCGCTTTGAGAACGAGACAATTTTAAGATTGTTTCCTTTCGCCCGCTTCACCCCTGGGCTCAGGATCAAGACACTGATCGAGGAGCTCAACGTTTGTCACAAGGAACTCTCCCAGGCGTTCTTCCACGATGCTCGAGAATCTTATCTCAGGGGAGAGAAGAGCGGCTTCATCGGCGAGCTGTTGGAGCAACAAGGAAAACTGAGAGAGGAAGGCCAGGGGGAGGAGCTGTCCGACCACGTGATCATGGGCCTGGTCGTAGACATCATGTCCGCCTCCTTCATCTCCACAGACAGCACCATATGCGGGCTCTTCCTGCACCTCATCCGAGATCACACGATCCAGGATCGAATCCACAAGGAAATCCAAACCGTGATCGGAGACAACCCACCGGGGTTTGAACACCGCCGCCACATGCCGTACACCGACGCCGCTATCCTGGAGACATTGCGCTTCTCGTCCATCGCGCCTCTCCTGGTTCCCCACAGGACCAGCAGTGACGTCAGCATCGACGGCCGCGTCATCTCCCGGGGCAGCACCGTCCTGGTCAACGCCTGGCACATCCATCACCGTCCGGACCTCTGGCACCAGCCCTGGACCTTCCGGCCGGAGCGCTTCCTTGACTCCAGAGGTCAGCTGCTTGACCCCGAGCACCCTGATCGACAGAAGCTGCTGGTCTTCGGCACCGGCCCTCGGGCGTGTCCAGGCGAGAACTTCGCTCGTTCTCGTGTTTTCCTTGTCCTGGTCACCTTGTTACAGCGCTTCCGGTTCATGCCTCCCGTGGACGACGTACTTCCCTCCTCGCATCCACGTGACTGGAAGTTAGGCTCTGTGTTCTCCCCCCACAACTTCCAGTGCAGGATGGAGCTCAGACCGGGAGCTGGCCCCAGCCACGTGTCACAAGTGAAATAGACACGAAAAACTATCTATTATTCAGTTCACAAGGAAAACGGGCTCAAAAAAACTATCTATTGTTCAGTTGAAGAGGAAAAGAGACACGAAAAATATATATCATCCAGTTCACAAGGGAAATAGACACTAAAAACTATCTATTTGTTACCAATGGATTTCTGTTTCTTTGAAAAGATTGTAAATATAATATGTATATAATGATGAAGATAACAATTATACATGACCCAGACATATATAGCAATCACCCTGATTAAAGCTCACATACTCTGGGTGTTTTACAAATTAATGCAATAGCAACATATAAACAGAATATTATGCTCTGACTAATATATTAACAGGTATTAAAACACACACACACACACACACACACACACACACACACACACACACACACACACACACACGCACACACACATAGTTATAATATTATATATATATATATATATATATATATATATATTGGGATATATACACTTTTGTCTAGTCTTTTAAGCTGTTTCAGAGATGTAAAAGTAATTTCTTTTTGTGTGATTTGAAGACCATTAACTGCCTGTTGGAATGTACAGTATCAACAGATTTGATTTAATAACCATATTGTGATGGTGTATCATCATTCAAGCTCGGGCATCAGTGGTGTAGCCATTAGGTACTTCGCTGTCGCACGCAGGACGCTCGATTTCGGTGATATAATAGTCCCCAAATATGTTTTAATGTTGTACTTGCTGGAGGGTGGTATCATTGATTTTGGTATTGCATGTTGGGGTTGGAGTTTTTCTTCTTATCACCATTGTTTCGGTTTTCTTGATGTTTAGGATTAAGCCCATGTTGTCACTCTCTTGCACAATGACAGTTGATAGATTCTGTAGGTGTTCTTCATCTTCTGCTATTAGGACTGTGTCGTCTGCATATCTTAGATTGTTTATATTATGTCCTCCTATCGAGATACCTGGCATTTCTTCTATGTGTCTTGTGATATTTTCACTTTACAGGGAGAACAAGTCTGGAGAAAGTACACATCCTTGTCTGACTCCTCTTTTAATCTGTATGAAACTATGCTATCATTACGTTTTACAAAAGAAGCAGTATTTTTAGTTGCTAAGATTGCGTATTTTACTAACATTTTTTTTTCTTTTTTATATATACATGTAGCTGATCAGACGATTTATCTCAGTCGACATTAACAAATTGGAATAAAAATAGACACCGAGATTTCCAACCTTTCTTGAAAATATAATTTCCGCAATCACCAATTTTCATGTGATTGCTATCAACCCCATTTATAGACTTCACATTGCCTGCAACGATGATTTCTGTCTATCATCATTCAACATCAATTTCTCTTGGCTTATTCAGTTTTATAAAGAGACAATACAATTTTTAGCTTGATGTACAAGTTCATCTACGTTGGTAGACATTATAGAAGCACTAGTGGGGGGAGGGGGGGTATCATCAGCATAGAAATGATACTTTAAGTCAAATGTAGCTATTTATTTGACAAAACAGGCGATTCGTTAACTGGGTAAAGGCGACGGAGCCGGTCATTTTTTGTTGGCTAGACAGTGGACAAGACATTTATTGTTTATAGTAATTCTTATTCAATTATTGATAAACATTTCTCGATAAGCGTCTTAGCAACCATGTGTCAGGAAAGTTTGCCCTAGAAACGGGAGTGAAGCAAGGAGACCCCATACCACCCTATCACCCGAACTATTCACAGCATCAATCGAGGATATTTATTATATTTAAAAAGCATCGCTCAGTAAAGGAATCTCAAGTGATGGAGATCACTTGAAAGATCCGACATTCGCCGACAATGAGGCACTTTCCACTGAAAATGAACTTGTAACAAATGGAAATTAACCTAAATATAAAAAAAAATAATGAAAGCAAAATAGTAGGCGAAAAAATATTCTAAGAAATATAACCAGTAGAGCCAATAAGAGAACCTCAAAGCTAAACAACTTTGCTGCCAGCCTCAGGACCGCGGCACGTCCAATAAAATAAAGAAATCTGACAATCAAGAGCATTTTTTGTGGCGTGAACTCCAAGCTAGAAGACTGTATCGAGCGAGTTCTGCACGGAAAAGGGCGCAGTATAATACACCACCTGCAACATCCATAAACAAAGATCTTTGACCTAAGCATACTGTTTTCTGGGCGGGCCGGGGAGAGAGAGGGGGGGGTTATAACGAGGCAGGTTGTTTGCAAAAGTCATTGTAAATAACAAAAATAACTGTCCTATGTGCGCATAACAGACTAGAATTTTTCTTCTTTAGACGTAACAATTGATCAACTAATCGCTCCCTGTCACCTCTAGTGCGATGTGATGGAGCCCGCACAACTCAATACATCGATCCAGCTTTTGATAAGGCTGAAGAACTCGTACCATATTCGTGTGATTAACATTTAGTTTTTCCTACCCCGTTCTGAGGTATGACTTTCGCCTTGAGAGTCGGAAATACACTTATAACTCTCTAAAAAAACAGTATCCAATTAGCCAATTAGCAGTTAATAAGTGTGAGCTTGTTAAAATAATTACTCTTTGTAAAAGTACAGGAAAATGGATGATTAATATCAGGGTGTCGGCTAAACAAATTGCCCTTCGCAGATCAAACTGTTCATCTTTGGCCTACAGTTACATTTAAATTTGCATGATCACTTTCATGAACAAACTCAAAAGAGCATAAACATACGGCCCCCGTTTGTTCCAGGCAATAACTATTCGACCCGCTTACCTTTGCCACAATTTTTTCTGTCTTTAGTACAGGTTCAACGAGATACCTTAAAATAGCAAATTGCACGTTCTTGTGACCTTGTGCAGTTACGAGCGCTGTTAAACTCTTACTAAACTAAACATACAAAGGTGATAGGAAGAAAGCTTTGTCTATGCCTGGCTTAGTGCCACCGAACGGGGTAAAAAGTACAAAAGTGTATAGGTTTAGCACCCCATGCAACACTGTAAAGTTATTGACATTTTTGTTAGCGAGTTCGCCCCTGTCTCAACCAACAACTTACAATATATCACAGCCAGTACACACAAGGACATCTCTTACCATCATTAACACACACGTACACCGCCTACCTACACAGATGTTAGACGTGATGGAGAAGTTCCTCGTCTCAAATTTTAATAGCAGTGACAGGCTGGAATCTCCACCTGGCTCTGCAGGAATGTGTATGTCACTAGATACGAACCTTACGTCCTCAGAACTTCCTTCTCTGCTCAGCTACGAAACTCGAATGTTCTTTGTAATCATCAACTTCATGGTTCTTTGTCCGTTGGTCGCTATCTTCGGCATCTTCACCAACATCATCAACATCGTCGTCTTTACAAAGCAAGGTTTCACAGAGACAATCAACATTAGTCTTTTGTGTCTGGCCATCTCCGATTTATGCGGCCTTCTTCCTCTACCGTGGATGGGCATAGCTCTGAACCCTTGGTTCTCCCAGACCGACCTGCCCTTCAGCGTCACGGAAATGCTCAGCCCCACAGCTGGGTTCCCCCACAACTGTTTTTCCCGCATCACAGGCTGGATTACTGCCCTTGTGGCCTTGGAGCGGAGCCTGTGCATTGCTTTCCCCTTGAAAGTAAAAATCTTTATGACCCGGACGGTGGTTATTTGCGTCAACGTCACCATCTTCGTCTGTATGATCCTCGGCATCTTGCCCTTGTACGCCACCGCCTACTACGACTGGAAATTTTACCCGGAGAAGAACAAAACTCTTCTCGGTATCCTCTACACGGAGAACAAGGACGAGGTGCAGAGCATCTCTTTGATCTTCACCGACCTCATCGGCCCCCTCTCGGCCTTCACCGTTGTCCTGGTCAGCATGGTGGTCATCAGGATCAAGCTGGTGCAGAAGGTGAAGTGGCGGCAAACAGCTTCCGCTTCCAGTTCCGCCATGTCTAAGGGGAAGCAGCTCCCGGCGAAGGAGAACAGGGTGGTCGCCATGGTTACCATCATTTCGGTGATCTTCATCATCTGCTTCACACCGATGTCCCTGTTCCTCACCGTGCGAGCGTTCATGCCGGAGCTGAGCGTGATTGGCCGCTACGCCAACATGAACTGGGCCTTCCTCTCCACCGCCTTCCTCATGGAGAGCATCAACTCCAGCACCAACATCTTCATCTACTACAACATGAGCTCAAAGTTCAAGGACACGTTCCAGGGTATCTTCTTCAAGCGCGGGCACAAGCAGGCTCGGAGAAGAAACGTCTTGCGATGAAGCTTTTGTTCAAATAACATCCCAGGGTCACCGAGAGAAAGCACTCTGTAACCCCTGGGCGAAGTACAGCCAGCTGGGGCGGCTTGTTTAACGTGAGATAAGATAAGATAAGATAAGATAAGATAAGATAAGATAAGATAAGATAAGATGAGATGAGATGAGATGAGATGAGATAAGATAAGATAAGATAAGATAAGATAAGATAATACTTTATTGCCCAAGAGAAAACAATGTTTTTGGCTATAAAGGACTGTAAAAATACATGCAGGTATAGATCTACATAAAAATTAAACCATATATTACTCTCAATAAAATCCAATGTGAAAAGAAAAGTATAGCGCACAAAACGTAAATGTCACATCAGATGCATCATTCAACCACTTGCAGGAATTTACTTACAGGACCTTTAGAATTATATAGATATCTAGATATATCATTGAAAAAAAACAATACGCATTGATGCTTACTGGGCCAGATGGGCGGAATCGGTCACTTTTTGACCGCTGGACAGGGAAGAAGAGATTTACAACATCTGATAATAATTTCATTCAGTTTAAAATCAATCGACACTAACATCTATCGACATTCAGAAGTCACTTTGCCCATTTGAAGACTCTCTAAGAGACAATAAGGGCTTACTAATGTATTGACTCACTACAGAAACTCGTTCCTTCCTCTCTCTTTATCAACGCTGCTGGGTCGCAACTTAGTTGTCATCATCTGCTGTCATGATGCACATCGTGCGCTCAGTGATGACGTCAAACAGGTGGGCAAGTCGAGCGAGCGTCAACGGAGACAAGAGAGCCCTCGTGAAAATCTCTTCTTTCTGGTTAATTTAATTTGACTTCTCTGTCGCTGACAAAGGACAAGACTGTGATGGTACTAAGGGCTCTTTATGTGTGTGTGTGTGTGTGTGTGTTTGTGTGTGTGTGTGTGTGTGTTTGTGTGTGTGTGTGTGTGTGTGTGTGTGTGTGTGTGTGTGTGTGTGTGTGTGGACAAAAAAGGAGGAAGGGGGGCTAAGTAACTAGATGTAGGTATAATAATATTATTATGTGTCTGTTTGTGTGTCAATTGATTTTTTTGGGGATTTTTTTTTTTGGGGGGGGGATAGGGGAAGACTAAGGGAAAATAGAGGGGCGGTGATATTGTGAGCGACAGCCAGTCAGTTAGACATACCACGCCCACCCCTTACAACAAGAAGGAAAGGAGGCATACAGACAGCTGCGCTTTTGTTCGTGTCGTAGTACTATTTATAGCCGCTTTGGTGTTGTATAAGCCCCAAATTGTTTAAATGTATTAAACATAGAGGATAACATGTCTTGTCTTGTTATCTGTTCGCTACTTGTTGAGAAACGTCTCGTTTCTATTTGAGGAAAGCGTTGAAGACATCTCGTGGTTGTGACGTGGACGTACAGTAGAATTATGTGCAAGTAAATCATTCGTCACTTGGGGGGGGGGGACATTTGTGAAACGGTATAGGCATAGGTTTAACGCCCCTATCGACACGATTGGGTTCTTTACGATTCGGAACTATCGATTTTACTTCCATCTCCAAAAGGACAGGGCAAAATGGGAAATTTGTACATTTTGCATTATAAAGACATATATTGAACCAATCCTATTATACGGGTGCGAAGCACGGACAGTCAATAAACAGCTGGAAAGAACAATTGTAGCGACAGAGTTGTGGTTCATAAGACGCATGCTTCGTATCCCATGGACAGCTAGAAAATCAAATGAAGAAGTCTTGGTTGAAGCAAATTGCGGAAGACACCCTATTGCGAATAGTAGAAAGCGACAGGCAAATTTCTTCGGACACACAATGCGGAAAGAAGCATTGGACAATATTGTAACAACAGGCAAGTTTGATGGAAAGAGAGGCAGAGGCAGACAGAGGGGAAAAGATACTGGGTAAGATGACAACATGGCAAGGAGCAGCAAGAACAACAGACACTATTGCTGCAACGCATGACAGAGTGAAGTGGAGGTCCATGATCGCCCACGCCAGTCGGCAAGGCACCGGACAATGATTATAAAGACACAGTGCCTTTCTTTCCCAATGACACGTTGGGTGACATTATTCTAGTTGTAGTGAGTTGTCCCTCTTACCATATCTTGACCTCAGAACAAAGGTTCGATCTCCAGTAGCAACTTTTAAAAATGTTAGTAAGAGTTTTACGGTACTTGCAACACAATAGGGTCTAGTAAGTGTCGAAGACTAGAGGAGTTTCAAGAGAGTAACAAACACAAAAAGAAGGAAGAGACATAAAGACGATAGATGTTTGAAAGGAAAGGAGGAGCAAATCACACGAAAGCACCCGCCAACTGCCCACGTAGCAACTTTTTTCCGGAGACAAACACAGTACATTCAGTTTGGAAGGAAATTGAGCTATTGATTCCACCAGATATTTAAAATACGGCGCGCATTACTGCCTCGGTCTGGTATCCATATCCTACTACAGGCTTCAACAAAAGTTAAGGACCACCTTGACAAACCGCCTTGATTTATTTTTTTTTATCCGAAAAAAGATGGCCAGGAAAGTTTCAATATGTTTTGCTCTGAAAGAGTTAATGGTTTACCAGTGCGTACTGCAAAGCTTCCTAAAGGGGCAAAACCACCACGTGCTTTACGGCAATCCTCGGGGAACTTTAGCCACATTTGCTGTTTTTTATCGACTTGTGTGCGACATCAGGGACATTCTTCAGTTAAAATTTCTAGTGCACGTTATAAACGGGCGTACGGCCGCGAACTGTGCTCACTTTGGTGGCAATACAAGCCGCCGTTTGCTCATGATCCA